TCTCTCTTATAAAGCCACACAAGAATTTCTCATTCTAGCACTGGAGGGTTGCTAAGCAGGGTGGTGACCAGTTACTAATGTGGAACTTAATACCCCCTACCCAGAGCCCTCAAACTAGACTCTTTTTCCGAGAAAAACATTTTTGGAGAACATATGCAAAAGGCAGGGATTTTTGTGGGTGATACCTTTTTACTGGACCAGTTGCATGGTTGGGATAGATTTAGACAAGCTTTAAAATGCAGTGCTCTCATCTTCACATTAGGAAGAGGTAACAATTTTTGGCAGGTTGATTTTACAGTAGCAGATGCTGGAAATAGCTCAGAGATGTGGAATAGTGGAAGTGGTCCCAAAAGACTAGTGAGCTTAGTACAGGCATGACCGTTAGAGATACGTGATGAAACCAGGAATGGATGACTAAGTTGAATTGGAAGTGTGTGACAGATTATCTCCATCACATACTATTTACATACCATAGCTCTAAGCCCCTTCCTCTTTTGGAGCTCGGTAAGCAAATTTGATGGGTGTTCCTCATCATCTTTCCTTTATCTTTGCTTTGTTCTCCCCATAGGGAGAGCAGAAAGAGACACAGCTGCCTATAGCTAGTCAAGGCAAAGACCTCCCCACTCCTGATTAACTGTTGATTGTGGTTTGTTAATTTTACCTTTACTGTATACATTACTGCTTCAGAATTTAGCCTCACTACATTCAGGAGACACTACATTCGGGATTACCTCTCATAGTGGATGCCTGCAACATCAATGGCTAGGATGTTCTGCTCATTTATTGCTCCACTGTTTATCAGAATTCTGAGCATTTTTTTAGGCTGGAGGAAAAAGCACCCATGACTCATCTGAAAGGAAAACAGCAAATAACATAGTCCTGGGCCACAGGAGACTGAGCAGAAGCAACTTCAGATGAGTTAGCTTTAGATAGAGAGCCATGCACATGCGGGTCCTTCGCCTCATGAGGGGTATGTATACATGAATGGCTACATCAAGTGACTCCAGGATCTATATGGTGAATAAGGTAAGTGGGCTCTCAGGACAAATTTGATGTCAATGAAGCAGTATTTACTGTTGTTATTGCAAACCAGGCAGTGGACCACCCACAAAATGAGTTTGGCATAGGACAGGAAAAACAGCTTTCTAAAAACAGCATATCTGAATCTTTACATCTTCTTTGAACGTTGCTTTCCTGTGCAAGTAAGAAGGATTATTAAGTAGGTGGGCCAAAGTCACAATTTAGGATTATGACCGTTTTTTGTTTTCTCTCCATGGGTCCAACAGTAATGCCGGTAACCAAAACAGAGAGGCTATTGCAAAGGCCCTCAGACCAACTGTTTAACTGGAGAGCAATACCTTTGCAGACACTTCAGCACTGATCTCCTCCTGTGTTTCAGCCAGTCGTTTCTTGGCCAGTTCTGTCCTCCTGTCACATTCTGCAATAAAGGACTCCAGGTGGTCCATGGCCTGCATGTGTTCAAACAGAGAACTGTCATTAGGGTTGCTTTTATCTATACATACAATATTGTAGGCTGTGGGCTCTGGTTCTCAGTGCTTTCAGACAAGGACAATTCCTGCACAGAGCAGTCTTCCACATAGCTTCAATAATATCCCCCTCCCCCTTCCCCCCATAGATACGGGATCACATTTACAAACCCACTAGCAAGGCTCAATATAGCAATTGTTATGTTCCTTGTACTCATCTTGCCTACTCTGAGGAAGGCATGATTTCAAATGGAGGGTAAAGACACAAGGTTAAATCTACCAGTCTGTTCCTTCTGAAATACAGTGATGGTTGTGGTTTTGAACTGTCATACAAGAGACAGAGTTTGACCATAACTGACTCTCTTTTCCTTCAAGCAGAGAAAGTTTCATGTGACCTTTCTAAGTGGGGTGGGACAGAATATTTTCTTAACTAAAGAAAAATAAAGTAGGATTAGAAAGAAATGGTAACTAGGAGAGCAGGATGTCAAGTCAGCAGGGTCAAATGGGATGCACTCAAAAAACTGGCTGTGACAACTGCAGAGGCACTGGTTAGTCCCTTTGGTAATTCACTGAGGTTGGGAGAGGTCCTGTATAACTGGAAAAGGGAAAATACAATGTCATTCTTCAAGAAAGGGAAGGAGGATCCAGCATGAACGACACGTGTCCTCAGAAGCTGGGGGGCATGGCAACTGGCTGCAGGTGGCAGAGGCATGGCAGCAAGCTCCTGCAGATGGCCACAGCGGTGTTGGTGGGGGGAGGGGCAGCGAGCGCCAACCTCCCGCAGACATCACCAACAGTGTCGGCAGCGAGGGGGGAGGGAGGAGTGGCGACCGCCTGCAGGCACCGCTTCTCTCAGGGGGTGCATGTGCACCCCCTACGCATCGCCAATGGGATCCAGGGAATTACAGACCAGTCAGTCTGACCTTGATATCTAGAAAGATCATGGAGCAGGTCATCCAGGAATCTATTTCTAAGCACCTGGAGGAGAACAAGGTGACCAGGAACAATCAAGAGCAGGAATTCACCAAGAGCAAATCATACCTCACACCAATTTGATTTCCTTCTATAGCTAGGTGATAGGCTCTGTGGATACAGGGTAGGGGACGGAGGGAAGCAGTGGATGGGATATACCTTGACTTTAGCAAGGCTTTCAACATCATCTCCCATGACATTCTCATTAGTAAATTAAGATACATTAAAGTGTTGAAAGGTGGATATAACTACCATATTTCACAGTATAGCAGTTGAGCTTTGAAGCCCAATTTTTAATTCTTAAAATTCAACCTTGACTTATACACCATATCAATACTTTCGACTCCCACCCCAGTGCCGCCCCGGCCAAACTCCGGCCCAGCCCTGACATGACCTTCTTCACCTACCGACAACATCCCTGTCGCTGGAGGCCATAGGACCCAGGCACAGCCTGAGCACAGCCTGCGGGCCTTGCCATCACTATGGAGACAGCGCTTGGCCGGGCACTGAGCCTGTTCCCGTCTCCTGTGAGTGGCACTGCCTGGGCTGCACCAGCTGAGCCTGACCCTACTGTGCTCCAAGAGTCATTATCAATAGCTCACTGAATGTCCAATTAGGAGAAGGTATCAAGTGGAAGTCTCCAGGAGTTGGACATGGGCAGATGTGGGCAGAAAGTTTTCCAGTGCTTTATTTTTCCATTGCTAAAAATTCATTGTTTCATAAAATTCATTAGTAACAATGAATGGATACCAATACAATATTAGGCAAGCTTGGCAGTTTCAAAGTTGTATTTAATGTTTTTCAGGTGATTATCCCTAGAAACTGTGAGAGACACTACATATATGTTTAATTCATTTATAAACAAGATGGTAAACACATTCACATAATAATCCAAACCAAAAATCAAGTTATGAATCCACCCACTTGGCTGTGCAGGTCAAATCAAAACCAAAGCTAAAATTCTTATTTCATCTCAGACTGCAAGTGAAAGCAAAGCCAAAATTAAAACTGTGATTAATTTGTGTTTCACTTTGAGTTCAGCAAACACACAGAGCAGTGTCTCATTTCTTTTCTTGAGTTGGAGAATTTGGAAGTGTTTGTATAAGATCTGTTAGTTTTTTAGTGCTTTTGGTTTGAAGTAGTCATAAGAATGCCTAATCAGAAACAAAAAACTAGTGTGTGGCATCATTATAGTGAAGTTCAAGCCACTGAAGGAAGGAAGAAAGTTGGTAGATGTAAATATTGCAGGCAAGAGTATGCTAACAATGCAACAAGAATGAAGAAACATTGAATAACATGTAGAAACTGTCCTGAAAGAGTACAAGCCATATACAGAAAGCTAATACAACAAAGTGGTGGAACAACATCATTTGAAAAAAGCCTACTGCAGGAATCCTATGCAAGTAAACAAGTTAATATGTTAAACAACACACAGTATAGACTAGCATCTATATTGTTTTAACATTATAATTTTAAAAGTTGTTAATGCAACTCTGGACTATTACTTATTTATTTTAAATATTTGTATTCTGCTTGCACTAAATACCCAAAGTGGCTTAGGCTTAACAATATATATATATTTTTATTACATAATAGATAGTTAACTATTTCAACCCAGCAGAGTGAGCTTAGTGCTTTGGCCAATGGCAGAGGCCAAACTATACGGCTTTGTGGTCCCAGGGCAAATGAGCAGCAAGTTGAGCAGCAGAGTGTTCTTTCCAAAGGGAGGGGGGAAGCAAGCTCCCTGCCGCTGCTCCTTCTCCTTTTGATGGATAAGGCCAGACTAGAATAGGCTAAAATAAAAATCTTTTCCCCCTTTTGTTGCAGGAACTTGGTAGCTCAAATGAAATAGCAGATATGCAAAAAATGGAAAATGAAAAATGTTGAGCTGCCAGACCTGGGCGAAGAAGCAGGATCCTTGCTTTCAGGATCACTGGCACCAGATATGCAATCCACCATGAGCTGTTCAAGACAGGCAAACTTTTTATCAAGCTTTGTGGACAAAATGTCAAAAGAAGATCAAGAAAAAGCAGATGAGACATTAGCTAGAGCTATAGCTGCAAGTGGTACACCTCTTTCCATAACTGAAAATCAATACTTTTTGTTATCGCTTATCACATTCTCTCTTCGCTAGAGAGTACAACAGAGTTCAAGCAATGGTTATTCAAAGGATTGGTCAAGAAGAATTACTGACTCTGATGTCAGATGGATGGACTGATATATAAGGGAATCCTTTATTGCGCATTATGCTAGCAACACCTGAACCAATATTCCTGAAGGCAATTGCCACCAAATCTTCTCGTCATACTGGTGAACACATAGCCAAATTACTGAGTGAAGAGACTGAAAGTGCAGGTCCCTCCAGGGTACAAGCCCTTGTAACTGATAATGCGAGTAACATGAAAGCTGCATAGTAAATATTAAAGGCAATGTATCCTCATTTAATAGTGTTTGGCTGTCTTGCTTATGGGTTGAATCTTCTGGCAAAGGACATAGTAAGTGTGAATACAATGAAGACAATATTGGCAAACTGCAAAGCGATTGTGAAGATATTCAACAATCATCACACTGCTAATCAGACTTTGAAGAAATTACAGAAAGAGAAGCAGGGGAAGGAAAGTGCACTTTTATTGCCAGGAGAAACTAGATGGGGCTCAGCTACAAAGTATTTACATAGTTTGCTGCACACAAAGAACTGTTTGCAGTGTGCTTCAATAGATGACACAGTATCCCCAATTATTCCTGTGAACATTTGGAAGCAGATACTTGACAACAATGTGTTCTGGGTTCGAGTTCAAGGAGCATCCAATTTGCTACTACCAGTTTCAGTGGCTATCAAGAAACTTGAAGGAGATACACCAAGCCTTCCAAATATTCCAGAGATATTCAGACAACTGAATTAAAACCTAACTGAGCTTCTGCCTTCTTCACCTCTATCCAAAAAAGTAGTAGTAATAGTAAAACAAATGTTTATTAAGAGATCTGAGTTTTGTTTTCATCCAGTTCATCCGGCAGCAAACCTTTTTGGATCCTCAACACAGAGGACAACATTTATCAGACGGTGAATTATCTACTGCTCTCAATACAATTATGGAAGTAGCTAAGAAAGTCCCCAACATCAGTGAAACAGCCATGATCACAGACATTGCTGAGTACCGCGCAAAATAAAAACTTCAAAACAAAGACATAATTTGGCGGACAGCAGAGAATATGTCTCCTCTCACATGTTGGAAGGGATACTGTAATACCCAACTGTTGTCCAGGATTGCTCTAAGGATCCTAAGCATTCCCTGGAAGACTTTCAGCTCAATCAAGACAAAAAAGAAAAATAGACTAACAAATGAATGCACTGCTAAGCTTGTTTCTGTTTCTCAAAATCGCTTGCTTCTGGAGAATCAGTCAGAAGCACAATTAGTGAAGAAGATGCAGTGTGATGATAAGCTGCCCTTGCCCACAGACTCATTCATAAAACCATCCTTTAGCGAAAGAGAACGTGGTTCAAGTAGTTCTGAATCAGATTTGCCTCAATCTGATTCTGAAATAAAACTAATAAGTAGTGCAAGTGATTCTACAGATAGTGACAGTGAAACTGGAGGTGCCGCAATGACCTCAGTGGAAGAGAGTTAAACTTTGCTGAAGTAGATGAGCGGACAACCATGGCATATCACACACAGCTCTTTGGGTATGCTAAAATTAGTGCGTCAGCAGTTTTCAGTGCCTTCGTTTTTTTCTTTACATTTAAACAAACAATGTAAGGGAAGTACATACTATTATGTACTGTCTTTACATTTTTACAAGTATTCCAATAAAAATAATTTGTTTCCACATAAAGCTTTTAATTTGTTTGAATATAACATTTAAATCACATTAAATGTGCTGTATTTAATTTTTTTCCTAATCAAATATTTCAGTTCAAATACTTGTGGCTACTGGGACAACATTAACATGGGGTGTACTTTGTTAGTTTTGTTTACTAAATATAAGTCAAATAAACATGCTAAATCAGATCACGCTCTATTTAGGGCATTGGAAAATTTTCCAATTCAAAATTTTCCGGAAAATCCACATCTCTGGTCACAGGTATAGGATTGTTTAATATCTTCATTATGATTGGGCAGATGGGAGATTTGCAAATTTGCAGAGGACATCAAGTTAGACAGAGCTGCAGACATTCTGAAGGGAAGGATTAGGATTTAGAATGACTGGAGAAGTGATATGAAATTAATCAAATAAAATCCAATACGGAAAAGTAAAAAGTTCTATATTTTAGGCCACATGTACAAATACAACCAGGAAATGCCTAGCTGAGGGTTCAGCAATGTTTCTAGGCAGATTGCCAAAAATACCCATAACACTGACTGGTAAGATGTTGGCATGCCTGGTCAGACAGTGGAGGGACCTGATCGTTATTGTGGTAGTACAGCCCTGGCCCCTTCCCAGACACACATACTAAGCAAAATGCCTTCACATGTCATGCTCTGGCACTCGTGCTGAGGGGTTACCTACCCCTGACCTAGCTAGTCTGCTGTACTGCATAAAAGGATCTGGGGGTTATAGTGAACCATAAGCTGGCTATGAATCAACAGTGTGTATCAGTTGGAAAAAAGGGAAATAATATACTGGGCTGTATTAATAGGAGCATCATTTGCAAGTCAAACGAAGCGATTTTTCCACTCGATTCAGCACTGGTGAGGCCTCAATTGGAGCATGTCTAGTTTTGGACACCAAACTTCAGAAAAGATGTTGGCAAATTAAAAAGAGCTCAGCAGAAAGCAACAAAAATTATTACAGGTCAAGGAAACATGATTTAGAAGGAAACACTGGAAGAATAGCCATTAGTCAGTCTGAAAAAGAGAAACCTGAGGAAGGATTTAATAATAGTCTTCAGTTACTGAAGGGTGATGCTAAAGAGGGTGGCAATAGACTATTCTCTGTGGTCACAGCAGATAGGACAAGGAGAAGTGGTCTTAAATTGCAGCAAGGGAAATTCAGTTAACTATTAAGAACTCACTGTGTGGGTGGTTAAGCACTGGAACAGGCTACCGACAGAGGCTGTGGAATCTCCATCCTTAGATGTTTTTAATAGCAGGTTACATATACACTTATATAGAAGTGTTTAGACTTAGGAGATGACAGGGATGATCCTGCCTTGAAAAGGGGCTTGGAACAGATCCTAAGCTCCCTTCCGGCCCTACTTTTGTATGATATCAGCAGTCTCTTAAAGAATGGGGGTGGGTTGAAATATCAGGTTGTTGATCATTAAAAAAAACCTGTGAGAAATATACAAGTTTGGCTAGAAACATATTAGGCTAATAAAACAAATGAGAGCGTAAGACCAGCCTGTAAAAAGAACACTGGAAATGGCTCTTTATTTCAAAAGAAACTGGGACATGCAGGACAACCAGAAAACAGTTTATTATCTGTCTTGGCAATGAGATGATATAAGCTCAGTTGCCAAAACCGAATAATCTGCTTCAGTTCTCCAGTCCCCCAAGCTCTTTCTTTTGCTCAGGAAAGTGCATAAAGCACGTTAACTGCACCTTAGGTCTAACAATGGTGTAAATAACATTCTTCAGAAAGAATAGAAGACTTGGGCCCTGCTTCAAAGTTTATGAGCAAGACTGGCAGTCTCTACATTCTAAGATCTAGTGGACAATGTGTATAGAGACTGCTGACACAGTGCACTGAACCATCACAGCATGGACAACAGCTATACAAACAAGGGAAAGTTAGCACTGCTTTTGCCCTTGACTGGTTCCAGTCCAGGAAGTCAATCAAGAAGTTCAGGCTGGCAAAGGTAAGTCTGTGAAAAGCAGAGAATGTCCCATGGTGTGCATAGCTGGCAACAGGATTTCCAAACGTGACTTACAGCAGTGGCACTGGCAGGTCTGCACAGGCAAAAAAATGCAGGGAAAGTCCATATTTTATAGTGTATTACTTCTGTTCTTATTTTTTGTTAATGATATAATTAACCTGTTTTAACCTTTGATGCCTGTCTGATTCATCTAGCTGACAAGAGGCAATGAATTACACACATTAGTAAATATATCATATACAAAGGTTAGTTGGAATGCCAACTGGACACTCACGCATTCCAGACTCCAGCAAGATGTAAGCATTTATAACTGTAGTTACCCCCACCTCCAAACTTACATCCAATTCAAAAAACAGGTCTCTCTCTTTACTTGCAATCTCATAATCTGCTCTCAGTGCCAAATCATGGATCTTTGTACATTCTCCCAGGTCCATGCGCTGTTGGAAAGCAAAAAGAAAATTAACATTACAACTTTCTATTACTGCAAGAAGCAGAGGATATTTAACTACTGACATCGATGTGTATATTCATTTCATGCATCACATCATCCTTAAAGGCACTTCAGGAATTGATCTTCCCTCTTGGTCAACTAATGAGAAAAGTGACCAAAAGGTCTTCCATGTGTTCTTGTAGTGATCTATTTTGGCTAACTGTCAACAAAACATAATAGCTCTACAGTCAAAGGAAAGTAGGATAAGCAGTTACCCAGTCTTAATCCTAAAACTGCACAATGACAGGAAAACAGGTCTCACTGGGAAGAACACTGAGAAAGGGTCAAAATGAGCCTGTCAAAATTAAGGTGCTGCTTCCTGGTGAAGTGGTAAATTAGAGGAAAAGGATATGGCCAGGGGAGCAGTGTGTCTAAGTCTCACAAAATTAACCCTTTCACAGGACTGACCCATCCTAATGCAGCAGGGCTTTTAAAATTCCATTGGTCCAAAACAAAGGACTCTTTTGCACAAGACCATACAAATCAAACTGACAAAAAAACCCAATAAGACAAGATCCTTTCCATAGTCTTCCAACCACACCCAAAAGAGCAAATTTGTAGTAGATGGTGTTAAAAAAGGTTCTCGATCTGTAGGTCAGCTGCCAAAAGTAATATTTTAAGCATTTAGTTAAAATGCCCAATAGATTACTTCTTTATCAGCAAGGCCAGTATTCATTTTGTTTTCAAACAGACAAAGGATGCTTAGCATCCTGAAAGCCATAATGCCGAAAGGCCTAAGTATACACAAGAGCACACAGGGTTAGACTGCAGCTCTGTGTATATATATGTATCTTTATACTCTACATCACGAAGAAGCACACATGTGCCTTATCCTACAGAAGCAGACTGCACATGCAATACTGTATTCCCTTCCAGGCTCCTCAGGACATGAGCTAAGACACAGATAATGATCAGGGGGTGAGAAAGATTAACATTAAGACTACGTATGGCTTAACCAGTTCTAACCACACAACTTGCTTGAAGAGCTGCTGACTGCTCAGCCTTCTATTTTGCTCTACGGGTAGGGCCTGGCTTAAATTGCAATTTCACATTTTTCATGAAAATCATTAAATTAAGTGATTTTCATGAAAAATGTGACTTGCTACAAAATGCCATGATATGACCACTTGGCTGGGGAGTTCCCCAGCAAGGCATTTCATTGCAACAAGATGGTTGCTACAGGCTGGGGGAAAGCATTTCCCAGCCCATAGTTTCTCAACCTGTGGTACACGTACCCCTGGGAGTATGAGAGACGCAGGCAGGGGGGACACAGGTACCCCAACACTGTCTCTCTTGTCCTCTTTTCCTCTCTCTCTCGCCCCTTCCTCCTAAAACTACGGCAAAAAATTTGGTGCAGCTTAAAAAATTAAATTCCCCAGTAATAATTTGTTGTGCCACACTTTGGGTGGCACTGGGTTCAGCCCTCCTAGCTTTAGCCAACATCACCTCTAGCCCAGGTACATACTTGAGTTGTGCACTGGTGGTGTAAAGGTGGCAACCCTACCCGCACCAGATCAGACATCTGTCATATCACAGCCTTATATACACAGCCCTTCTTCCAACATATAGCACACATTAGTCTGTAAATATAAAATCCCCATGAAAATTGAGTGTTGGGGTACTTATTAAAATTTTCAGAAGTTAAGGGGTACTTGCTACTTAAAAGATTAAGAAACGCTGTCCCAGCCAGCAGCAAAAGCCTAGCAGCCCAGGGGTTGCAAAAGGGACAGGGGGAGGAGAGAACTTGGAGAGGGGTAGGGGAGAGGCTTTTTGCTTCTTCAGGCTGGAAAACTGCGGCGCAGGATGTTGGGAGCACCTGGGGACTGCCTTGGCAGATGGCCCTGACACCAGGTATGGGAGGAGCTGTTTGCTCCTCCAGACAGAAAAACTGGGGTGCTAGGGTTTGAGAACACAGAGCACAGAGAAGCAAACAGCCCCTCACCTACCCAGTGCCAGGAGCATCTGCCAAAGCAGCCCCCAGACACACCCAACCCCCTCCACCCATTTTCCTGGCCAGAAGTGGAAAAAGCCCCTTCTTTTCCCCCGTCCCTTTTATGACCCCTTCCCCCCTCCCCTGGGATACTAGGCTTTCACTGCTGGCTCAGGAATGCTTTCAGAACAAAATGCAGCAGCCATCAGAACAAAAAGCACCTCCCTGGGCATGAAAATTAGGGGTGCACTGATAGATTTTTGGGGCCAATACCGATGGCCAATTTTTAAGAAGCCATATCGACCAATACGATATGCAGTAGGGCAGGTTGGAGACCAGCATTGGGCTGATACATCTGGTGTGGGGGAAAGTGGGGAGGAGGTGGCGCAGACTGAGGCCCACAAGGTGAGGGAGCAGGGCAGAGGCAGGCACTGCTCAGCCAGGGCAGGGCATGGGACGGTGCCACAAGCAGCTCATCCAAGGAGTGTGTGCTGGGGCAGCTCCCGCCCTGCACGCACCCTGGGAGGGCATGGGGGGTGTGTGTCCCCAGATCTCTGTGTGGGGCAGGGCAGGGCAGGCTGCTGCTCTCGGCTGGGGCCAGGGCTGCGCTGGGCTCTTCCTGGTTGGGGGGCTGGAGCGGGTTGTGCTCGGGGCAGGTGGCAGCACTGGGAGGGGGGCGAACGACTGCAGCCACCCCAAAATTCGCCATAGCGTCCCCCTAGCCTCCTCCCAGCACCGCTTCCACATACCCCGAGTGCAACCCAGCCCATCCCCACCCCCCAGGAAGAGTCCAGTGCAGCCCCTGGCCCCAGCCTTCAGCAATAGCCCATCCCATCCCATGCACAGATCCAGAGGTACATGTCCCCCCATGCCCTCAGGTGCACCTCCCCCACCCTCCGGATGAGCCACTTGCAGCTCCACCCCGCACCCTGCCCCGCCCCAGCTGAGCAGTGCCTGCCCCAGCCCCACTCCCTCCCTCACTGCGGGGGCTTCCATCTAGACCCCCACTCCCAATTTACCAACCTGACACTGGTCTCCAAGCCACTGGGCTGTGCTCCAGCTGTGCACATGCACAGGGATTTTACTGGCCACATTATCAGCCACATTGGGCAAAAAAAGCCAATTTCTAACACAGTCAACATTCCCTATATTGGTGCTGATCCAATATGGGACCAATGTATCGGTCCAACTCTAATGAAAATGGTGGCCCCCGCCACTACTGGCCCACGATATTAGCAAGTGGCACCCACAATTTAAACCAGGACAACTCCTTATTGCATACAAATGAGGCAATAATTCCCACCTTCTTTATCTGCTTATTTCTTCTCTTTTCATTACACCATGTTATACACCGTCTTGCAAAGTACTCATATACTGATTCACATTATTATTCAAATTCTCCACATCCCAAAACAGCTTCACAGTAAGTGGACCACGCCACAAGTCCTGCTTTAAAACTGCTGACTTAAAATAGAGGTGCACCAATACATCGGTCCATATCGTATTGGCACTGATAAAAGGAAAGATGACATTATTGGCAAGTGACTTTTTTTGGCCAACGTGACTGATAATGTCACTGAAAAAATGCCACATGCTTGCGTGCAACTGCAGCATGCACGCAGCCAGGAGTCCAGCCTGTAAGTGTGTGGGAGGCAGGAGCGTAGGGGAGGGACAGAGACCCCCACAGTGAAGGAGGGAGTGGGGCTGGGGCAAGGGTAGGTACTGTATAGCCGGGGCACATGATGGAGCAGCCCATATTTTGCCCTCCCCTGTGTTAGTATGATCTTTGGTTAGCAAGACTGAAACTATTCCGACTTGTCACCACTGAGCTATCTATTCATCTACACCTCCCTCAGCTTGAACAGAAAAATATGTGCTGCTAACCATGAGTATTAGACATAAGCACCACTCCCAGAAGCAAGTTCTGGGTGGAAATGAAATATCAATCTTTAGAAATAGCTCTGAAAGATTTGCAAGATCAGACCTAGCCAACTCTCTTCCAGGGATTTAGAGAAGCTTCCAGTCCAGTCATTTTATTGCAGTTACAACTTTCAGCAATCCCAGAACTACATATGCACTTTCAATGATTTCATTATGTGTGGCCACTGTATACTAAAATTCCTTTCCAACACTAGCTGAGGAGGTGGAGGAACCTCTTCTGAAAATCACAGACCAGGACTGTCATATTTCCAAAAGAAAGTTCAAGAACTTTCTCCAAACTGAAGTGGTACCATCACTTTGGAGAGAGATGTTCGCAAGCTAAGCAAAGTAGGTCTCAACCTTGCTAGCTCCTCTTTCTCCAGACTTTGTAAGACGGCAACATATCTCCAGGTTTCTCTCTTTGGGCAAGCAAGCATCTGCAGAAAGCCTTGGGTTCTAGTTCCCAATGACTTGCAATAAATTCTAGATATCTGGATATTTTTACCAGGACCTGGACCTCCACATGCAACACTAATGCAAGATGACAGATTGTATAAAGACAGATCCCTGGAGGATGTTCCACTTATACAGTTCTCAGAATTGTTTCATCAGCTAATCTGGTAGCATCATTACCAGCAGACACCCCATCCAGGAATACTGCAGTTTCTCTGCTAGTAAAAATATGCCCATTGCTATTTGAGAACTAGGGGTACACCGATAAAGATTTTATGGGCTGATACCAATGGCAGATTATTGGCCAGCCATATCAGCTGATACCAATCCAATTGCCGATATGCACTGGAGAGCAGCTTCCAGCTGGTAAGTCAGTTGGGGGAAAGGAATGGTGGGGGTACAGATCGAGGCCCCCCCCACAGTGAGGGAGAGTGAGGCCAGGCCAAGCAAATCTGTCTCGCGGGGGGGGGGGGGGGGGAGGCGCCGCCCCCCCCCGCCACTGCATGCACCACCAGAGGAAACATGGGGGGCATGTGACCCCTGGATCTGTGTGCTGGACAAAGGCAGGCTGCCCACTGCGTGGTCGGGGTGATGCTGGGCTCTTCCAGCAGAGGTCTGGATAGGGGCTGCGCTCACGGCAGGCAGCTACAAGGTGGCTATGGA